CCCCACTGACCCTCCAGCACTGGTCAAGGGGCACTGCCGAGTGGAAAATCTGCCACTGGGACAGAGTTTGGATCACGGGCCCAGGCCCAGATGCAAGGAGGTTTGGGGAAAGGAAGCATCTGGCACTTTCAGCTCCTAGAGGGGGAGTGGGCTCTGCCTCATCATGCAAAAGAGCCCCTGTGATGGTGAATTCTCTGTGTCTACTTGACTGGTCAAAGACTGCCGAGATTAAACATTATTTCTGGGTGCACCTATGAGGGTGTTTCTGAATGAGATAAGCATTTGAATTGGTGGCCTCAGTAAGTCATTTCCCCTTCCCAGTGTGGGTGGGCACTGTCAATCCATCGAGGGCCTGAATAGAACAAAAAGGCAGAAGAAAGAAGAATTCACCCGCTTTTGCCTCCTGCTTGCCTGCTAAGCTGGGGCATTAGTCTTTTCTTTCCCTTGGACTGGAATTACACCACCAGCTTTCCTGGGTCTCTAGTTTGCAGACAGCAGATTGCAGGACTTCTCAGCCTCCATAGTCAAGTAGGCCAATTCCTCATAATAAGTCTCTTAATATAAATATATTTCCTTTTCTCTGGAGAGCCTTCACTAATACAACCCTCGACATGGAAAAGAGATTCAGATGGCGTTGTTGAAAAAGAATGACAGTTGTCCACTGTATGCTATAAACAAATACTTTCAAAAGTCAAAACACAATGCAGAGTAATGAGAGTACACACAGAGTACACTCAGAACAAACACATGTTCATCTTCCATCGTTGTCTAATTTGATTAGGTGTGCTGTGCAATTTTATTTTAGGACTTGGACACAAGCCTATTTTATGGCTACTCAAAATACATATCATTTTGAACTAGAATTTCAAATATGAGATTAGATAATTAAAGAATACCTGGAAACAGGCTGTTTAATTTAACCTAGTGCTAGTTACAGAGCAGATGCACCTATTTTTAGTTAGATTGATTAATTACCTAGGGAAGAACTAACACATGGAAAAGAATAAGATCATATATTCATTAAAAGTCAAAGGAATGATGTACAATAGCTATCTATCACATACATGCTGCTAAGCTGAATTAGACATTGACAGATTCGTGGATAAGTGCCTGGGATCTCAATTTAAACTGCAGGATAAGATTTAGGAGGTGTTTTTAAGGTCATCAGAATCAACGTCCTCCCCAATAAAAGCATTTCTCTCTCTGATAGGTGGCCCAAAATGCATCACTTTCAGCACAGTATGTTATACTTTTTGTTTCTGACCTTCTTAGATCTGGGCTCTATTTATCTGTGAATCCAACCAAAGTATAGCATTAATTTCTTCTGTACTGTTTGCTAATGCTCAAGTGAATTAAAACTATTTTTTGAAAACCAAACTGTTGGTAAACTAGGACTTCTACACTATGTCCTTAGCAAGTGATTTTAGAACCTACATGAACTTCACATCCATCCTTTTAAAACATAATCTTAGTTCCACTGCTTGTTCTGGGCTAAGAGATTTCAAATTTAATCCTGATTGTCATCCAAATTCTCTATTGCTTTGAGCTTTGCATTATGATCTATGTACATCTGAGTCCTTGAGAACATTGTAGAAATGTCACGGTCAAATAAAGACCTGTAAGGTAGACCAACAGAAACCAGCTTCTATGTTGGCTTACAGACCTATGAACATTCTTTGGATGTAGCTGATCAACCCAGCTATGACACTACCTTTCAGACCTGATTTCTGCCTGTCACCCATAAAGATTACTCAATATTCTAGTTGATAAATGTGTGCTAGAGGGATTGTGTATATATAAAAATTTGATAACTCTGCCTCTATTTTAAATACTCCAGGTTATCTACAATTTAAAGGGATAGTAGAGGAAATTTTTGGTACGGCAGAAAACTCTTTAGTGAAGCAAAAACTATAACTCAATCCATCTGTTTCATAAGTCTTGATTTTAATATATTGGATTCACGTAGTGGGCTACATATACATTATCCATGAGACAGAATATGAAAGTCAAAATTCTATGTAAAGTATTTTAATAAAGGCTTTTAAAATTATGACAAATGATGTACATAATAGGCACTTTAATTTAAATAGCCTTGATAAATGTTTACCATTTTAAGAGAATGTACAATTGAACTTCTCAACTAAAAGCAATTATTGAAATTTTTGCTCATTTAAGTGGATCATAAAGCAAAGGAAATCTGAAATTAATATGTCAGTGTTTATGGAATATGGAACCTTCAGAAAATCTGGCTTCCAAGTTCTGAAGAGTGGAATATTCCTATTCTTTTAAAGGAAAAAGTAAGAAATGTACAGTAAATTCATTCCAAAGATTGATTCACATTTTAAATATTTATAATGCCAAGTGGTAAAGTAAAAAAGATTTAGGGAACAGGGTTTCTGATGTCACTGATGATATCTGTTAAGCCAAAAAACAGCTGTGAGATAAATAATTAGTTTCATTATGAATGAAACCTTCAAAACATATGGTAGCCTTTCGCCAACTACCTGCACAAAAAAATAGAGAGTTATAACAGCTGAAATGAGCTCTTATAACCAGCATGCTAATTACCCAAGTCCTCCAATAATTAAAATGGAAACATTTAAAAGTTATATAAAGACTTTTGAATCTGCAGTTACTGACTTTCATGAGACTGATTTTTAAAAGAGGCTTAATGAGCTCTCCTTAGGCATTTCCCACAATTATTTTGCTTTGCACCAAAAAAGCAAAAAAATCAAATTGTGAATTATTTTGATGGCATCTGAAATATCATATAGAGTACCCAGACATTGTACAAATCATCTACTTTCATTGAGAATAAAGTTATTCATCCCTTGGAACCATAGCAACACTTAGAGTTTATTTTATACATACTGAGATTAGGGTTGGTACAATATTATTTTTTTAATGTGCGTATCTTCCATTTTACAGCATAGAAACTGATATAAAATATGACTTGCTCATGGTCAGCATAAGTGAGTTGGAAGGTTAAAAGCTCCCAGGATGAAAGAACATACTGTCTTCAGAATCTTTAAATTCAGAGTATCCACTGAGGACTTAGAATATAAAATGTAAATTGGGCACACAATTTCAGTTAAGGCTCTCTCTGGGTGATATTCCACATAAACTGTCATTGAGGATTACTGCAGTAAGCCTTTCTTTAATAAGCCATGTTCATGCGAAGTCTTGCTGGAAACAAAACCTATGGTCTAATTGCCTTGAAATTTTAGCAGCATCAACACATTCTTGATCATGTATTTTTTTTTTCATATACTATCAGAATTACAAGGCAGAATGTGTTTGGCAAACATTGCAAAGAGGAACAGTAGAAAAACCTGAAGTAGGACTGTTTTCTGCTCTTTTGAAAGGATAATCATTTGATAAGAAAGATCCTAATGAGCTACTTAGTTATAAGTTTTAGTATAGGGTAATTTTTATAATTTTAAGATCTTACTATAAAAGTTGAAGTGGAAATTTTTTTTTTTTTTTTTTGAGACGGAGTCTCGCTCTGTCGCCCGGGCTGGAGTACAGTGGCCGGATCTCAGCTCACTGCAAGCTCCGCCTCCCGGGTTCATGCCATTCTCCTGCCTCAGCCTCCCGAGTAGCTGGGACTACAGGCGCCCGTCACCTCGCCCGGCTAGTTTCTTTTGTATTTTTTTAGTAGAGACGGGGTTTCACTGTGTTAGCCAGGATGGTCTCGAACTCCTGACCTCGTGATCCGCCCGTCTCGGCCTCCCAAAGTGCTGGGATTACAGGCTTGAGCCACCGCGCCCGGCTGAAGTGGAAATTTAACCACACATATGGACACTCAAACACATGAGGCTCTTCTGAAGGATGGTTCCAAAAACAAACAAACAAACAGATTTGTTGACAGAAGGGCAATCTAGAATGGCATTCTATTATCAGTTGCTGGAGTTTGCAAATTGGAATCTTCAAGAAATGAGTAACTATTCTCTACCTGGACTGCAGTGGTTTGATCATCAACTTCCCTGGAAATTTACCATGTTACTCAATAATGAAAGTAGCTTCTGGGTCTTCAAAGACACACATGTATGTGGTGTGCCAGTTTTTTTGGAATTAACTGCATTTGGAACATTCTGACTAGGTCCTCTGGTGGTACTACAAGCATATAGTCATTTCACATAGTGCTATTTCTGTAAAATGTACACTCTTTCCATCATCAGAATCTAGTTTTTTAAAGACAGCTGGATCAAATCAGAAATGATCTCAATTTAATGTCTTTTCCTACTTGAAGCAACAGATTTGCTAAAACCAAGACATCTGCTTATCTTATTTCAGAAATTTGTGCCAAGAAGCAACTGACTATTGGATCTAGAACTAGAAATACCATTTGACCCAGCCATCCCATCACTGGGTATATACCCAAAGGATTATAAATCATGCCGCTATAAAGACACATGCACATGTATGTTTATTGCGGCACTATTCACAATAGCAAAGACTTGGAACCAACCCAAATGTCCATCAATGACAGACTGGATTAAGAAAATGTGGCACATATACACCATGGAATACTATGCAGCCATAAAAAAGATGAGTTCATGTCCTTTGTAGGGACATGGATGCAGCTGGAAACCATCATTCTCAGCAAACTGTTGCAAGAACCGAAAACCAAACACTGCATGTTCTCACTCATAGGTGGGAATTGAACAATGAGAACACCTGGACACAGGAAGGGGAACATCACACAACGGGGCCTGTTGTGAGGTGGGGGGAGGGGAGAGGGATAGCATTAGGAGATATACCTAATGTAAATGACGAGTTAATGGGTGCAGCACACCAACATGGCACATGTATACATATGTAACAAACCTGTACGTTGTGCACATGTACACTAGAACTTAAAGTATAATAAAAGAGAGAAAAAAAGAAGGGAAATAAAACATTACGAATTGAAAATAAAAAAAGAAGCAACTGACTATTGATCGGCATCTCAAATATTATATTTAATTACCTACTTTTATATAAATGTAATAAAACATTTAAATGATATATTCCAGTATTGTGTGATGATGACTTTTTACCTGAGACCAGGATGGTAATAGAATAGTAAACTAGCACTTAGGGTATGAGTCAACAGCAGATCAATTGCTATTTTAAATGCACTGAGGTCCATTCACCTAAGTACCATTTGCCAATTCCTGCCCTTGTCCCTTTTCAGCTCTCTTTTCCATTCCCATTGGCGACTATTTAAAATCTTTCTTTCAGAATCCCCCTCCCTTCCCTCATTCTCAGCAGGCCACTCTGTCCTCTCACTGAGGCTATCAGATCAAATCCTTCAACTTCTAGCACTACTCTACTAGCTATTAACACAGAGATTTTTTTCCCTCATTTTCTCCCAGGATAAGATCTTGCTCTTTTATTCAAGGCCAGTCCTGTCAAAACTGCTAGGCATCTCACTCCCTGACTACAGCTGCCCAGCATAGTTCAGTGCCTCTCCTAGGCTCCTACAGTAGACACGCCCCTCCACCACCATCATAAACACACACTCCTGGCACAACAAATCCTAGAAATTATGATGCAGATCCCTCCCCCTGCCCCATTTCCCCTTGTCGTCTTTGCATTCTTGGCACCTTCCACTAAGTCTAGCAAGCAGAGATACCCAACCAATATGTGTTCAAGTGAAACTGTTCACTTTTAAGCATGAGTTATTTTCAAAAGCTTGAACCAGAACTGAGCTTGTCCCAGATTGTCTGCAGAAGAGCATATGATTTCTGCTCCACTTTATTTTTTCAACCCACAAATGACCCAAAAAGGAGGAATGAAACATTTCCAGTAACTAGGGTTGCCAGAAAAATACAGGCTGCCCAGTCAAAACTGAATTTGGGATAAACAACTAATAATATTTTGTAGTATAAGTACGTACCAAATATTACATGGGACATAGGTAAAAACAATAATTCACTATTTATCTGAAATTCAAATTTAACTGGGCAGCCCACAATTGTATTTGCTAAATCTGGACACCCTAACAGTGATTTGTTAAACATTCTCAGAGGACTCGGAGAACACTTCCTTTAAGTCACCTGGAGATTTGTGTGCAAGCTCTGCAAACTTCTCAATCATCCAGATTTCATATCTGTTAATGTAACTGGGTTTCTTTCTGAACCTCTCAGTAACATGCTTTAAGAAATGCTGCTTGATTTATTATATGACATTTTCACTTATTTTGCCAATTTCATAGAATTTTTATTCTAATGCAATTTATCGAAGATTTTACAAAGAATACTGTAATTTTGCTTAAGATCTCTTGGAAAGCTAACATTTATAGAGTTATTATCACGCCTCAGTTAAGTCCTGGCTGCAAGTATTAATTTTTGAAATTTTCATATTTTTCAATTAAATCAGCAGAACGCAAAAAGAGAAATAAATAAATCTTTGATTTGGAGATTTCTTTTCTTCATTAATCAAGCACAGCAATACATAGTATCCTAACTAACAGGCTTGCAGAAGCAGGCTGGCAGGCGGAGGTGGAGCCTGTGATGTAACTGCAGTAGGTCTTTGTTGGAAAAGCCTTCCTAAATGTAAAACATCTGTAAATTGAAGCACTTCAGCTTCACTGTGTATGGGCTGGCAAGATTAAAGCGTTGCTTCTTTTAGCATCCTGCACTGGAGGCTTAAAATTTTGTTCCACAGAGGAATTCCTTATAGGTCCTTATGAAGATTACATATCTATCTCACCAAAGCTGGGAGAAAAGCAGGCTTTTTCTGCAAAAGAGGACCATTTCGAGTACTGATTGCTGTGTGTGCTGGTTTACCGGTAAATGGTGGTGATGCAATGGAAGTTATAACCTGAAGTGTAGGAAAGATGCCCTACAGCCTGTTCCAGTTCTCAACGTTCCCTACATTAATGGGTTCTTCTTTCAGTGTTCTTGACAGTGATATCTTAGAGAGAAGACATTTATTTCTTCTTCCTATGAAAAAGATTAAGATGAGAGAAATACCTCCCAATGTAGATAGATACAAGAGTGTGCCTTTGGCAAAATACCAACTAAACTGACCTCAGAGAAAACTTCTGGGGGAGGGAATGACTGAGTCTGCTATAACTACGTGTTGTCATAATATGTTAATGAATTAAGACATTTATCCCAATACACGCATACTACCTGCTTTCCACCATATTGGCACCACCAGTTAAGGACGGTTGTCAGGCTACCAGCACAACACGTATACACTGCAGAGATGCAGAACAATGCCTGGATGCCTGCCCAAAATTGGTCTCTCCAAATGACAGACTCAATTTATAGTACCAATATATGGCCCACTGGGGGTTAGCAGCATCTTTTTCCTAGTTGGTGAGGGAAAGGGATGAAATAATGTAGAATGCTCAGAGCACTGGTTGGGGCTTCCACCTGCCTGTGCACAGCGGAAAGGCAGACAAACATATTCATTAAACTTGATCTGAAGCAAGTGAGCCCGTGAGGTCGTTCCTGAAATATTCATAAGGTGTGTTACCGGACTCGCCGCTTAGAGGTTGAGCAGAAACACTGAGTCAGAGCAGTCCGTACCCACACTTAGAAAAAAAAAAAAAAGCACCCACAACAGCTCACCCCACCACCACACTCCACTGCCCTGCTTTTAACAGCCCCGTCAGCACTCAGCTGTCACTCTCCACTAGGCTGTCCAATTCTACCTGCCCAGGAAAGAGATGCTCTAATACTGAAGTGCGGAGTTTCCCAGCAGTTGGAGGAGGCGCAGCGCAACAGCCCAGGCGACCGCTCCTCCCGTCTCTCTGCCAGGAGGACCCCACAGTCCGGCGGCCCCGCAGCCCGGCTGCCTTTCTCCTCCCTGGAGACCGAAGCCCACAGGCCAAGGGGTCCCCAAGGACCCAGACCAGCCCCTCGCCCCAGCCAGGCCGCCCTTGTCCCGCCTTCCATTTTGGCTCTGCCTGGGATCCCTTCCCCGAGCCCTCGGCGTTAGGTCGCTAGGCGACCTACGCCCGGGCCGAGATGCAAACAGCCTCTCGCGCCGACCTGCAGTCTCTCGGGTGTTAATTGGGAGGACAGGATAGGAGGGGAAATCACTGTCCTGGGTGACCCCGGAGCCCCTGCACCGAGGCAGAGTGCACTTTCATTCACGTTCCCTCTCTGCTCCCGATGCTTAGCATTTCTGCTGCGTCCCAGGCACCGCGCAGCTTGCGTGATGCCTCGCGTCCTCGCCGCACCTCTCTCCTCCCCAAGGGCATTCGCCCCTCGTCCCTAGGCTCCTCTGGGGTCGCCAGTCACCTGGACTCTGGCGGCGGCAGGCTCAGCAGCTCCCGTTGCGCGGCGGCGTGGTCTTCATCTCCGCCTTCCCCAGGCACTTCGGCTACGCGCTCCGCGGCGGCGATCGACGCGCTCGGTCCCGGGCGCCGAGGCTGGACAGGGGCGGCCGCGGCTGCCGCACTGGCTGCGGGCGCGGAAGGGGCGGGGGCGGGGCAGGAATCTGGGTCGCGTGGAGCGGAGCAAGCCGGGATGCACCCGGGGCGGCTGGCGGCGGGGAGGCGACCGAGAGCAGCTGGGGAGGGCGTGCAGAGGCTTCCCTGAGAGCACGAAGCGGGCGGCTACTGAGCATGCCCAGTCCGGGAGCCGGGGGCGCGGGCGCAGTGCTGTGGGAGGGAGCGCGGCCCCCAGCGCCCGAGTCTGCGGGGAAAGGGTTAAATCTGCGGACCCCGCTGCTGTGGGAGGTGGCTGGTGTGGCCCAGTTTAATTGCTCCCGGGTGGACTCCCCGGAGGAGCCCACGACGGGAAGATGGTGAACCTGAGATGACCTGTCAATGGGATTCCCAGGCAGTCCCGGGAAAGGTGTGTTCCCCGCCCTCTCCCTGGATAAAGGTCCAGAAGTCAAACTTTGTTTTAGTTCAGCTCCAACCTTCCCCATCTCACCGAGCACCCAGTGACTCTCCCAATCCTGATCCCCACCCCTCATCTGCCTTCCTGGGCCCGCAGAACCCTACCCCTCACCCCCACCAGCAGCCCCCGCCTTTCCCACTCCTGGCCCAGTCGGGTCAGATTCTCAAAGAGCCAGCTCTTTAATTAGGTGTAATTGAGAGGTCGTGTCAATCCTGCCAGGTCCATATCTGCATTTCAACAAGGGCTTCAGAAACAATACCGTAACCCCGGGGTTAATTATAACAGGATGAATTATAGACACCCTGGTCTGGGGCTATTTGGGGGAACATTGCTTCGTGGGGCCCCAGAAGCCACTTCATACACACACACACACACACACACACACGCATGCACACACAGACACACACACGCAGAGAGAGAGAGAGAGAGAGAGAGAGAGCGCGAGAGAAAAGATAGAGAGACCTGTGCCTTCAGGATTGCATTTCATGTTTGATGAAGAACGTTTTCTCCATAGCTAATCAAAAAAGTCTCTTTAATGAGGCCGCATGGGGTTGGGGAAGGACCAAATGAGTTTCGAGGTCGGTGCTTATTTTAGTTTCATTTATCACTCCAAGGCGGTTACCTGGCCGTCCTGCGCCTCTGTTTCCTCACCTGTAAAACAAAGGGTGGTTATACCTACCTCTGTGGGCTGTTGTGAGGGTTACTCCGGCAGCCGGCAGCGCAGAGCAGCCTGGATACCAAAGCATCAGGCTGTCCCGCAGTGGGTGTTCCCTGAATAAAGTCTCTGCAGGTTCCACCTCCACTATTCTGCGTTTATGAAAAGTTGGGTTAGTGATAATCCTTCAATGCTGAACATTTATCTTATTTCCTCTTCACATTAAATGACATTAAAGCCTTGACCTTTCTGATTTTTTTTATCATTGTTAAAAGCATTAGCCACTATTTACTTTTCTTTCTTTTCAGGGAGATATGAAGGATACCTCCCAGAATAAATGTCTTGGAAAAAGCTAGACCTTTGGAGGGAAAAGCTTCTCGGGAGATATTCATTAGGGATAGATTTATCCAACTGACAAAAGAAATTTACTCCCTAGTCTTTTAAAAGTAATTTACTTGCATCTCCCTGTGGTCCTTGTTTCACAACTATTGCATGAAGTATGCCTGTATGGAAGGAAATTTGCTTCACACACATACTGTTGACTGCTTAAGTATGAGCGTTCAAAAGATAAACTTTTTATTATCCCCCAAACATACTATTTTTTTCATAACACATTGCTTTATTCATGATAGTCCACCCTTTCTGAAATACCATTCTCTCTCATTCTGTTTTGTGAAGTGCTACTCACTCTTCAAGCTCAAATGTCACCTTCTCTCTGAAGCCTACCCTGAACCTCAAGGCAGAGTGAATGCTCTGCTGTCATAGCACCAGTGTATACTGCTATCACAGCACTCATCTCAGCCTATCGCTGTGGTTCAAGCAATGTAAAACTATTTACTCAGCAACTGTTATGTGCAGGCACCATTCTACATGTTAGAAAAATAAGAACAAACAAGACAAGGCTCCTGCCCTCATGAAACTTACAGTCTAGTTGAAAAAGACAGAAAATAAACACCTAAACTATAAATAATCAGTAAGGACAGAAGTCTAGTAATTCTGGTAATTTTTGTCTTTTGTGTTATTCATCAAATTACATTATAGAGTCTTGACTCATCCTTCCAAAAAACATCAGTAAAAATATTAATATTGGCTCTAGGCCAAACAAATGACATGGACATGGATCTCTGCCAGTTTGTTGCTGAACCAATGACTTTTACTCCTTTCAGTTGATTCCCTCAGCTAAAACTTTCCTAAACTCAAGCCACTCAAGGTAGGTAGCTGCAATCCCGTATGATGAATGGAAAATGGTCGGGGAGGGCCAGAGAGTTTAACCTCCACAACAAATTATATCCTTTATCTAACCTTTGGGAATGGCATTTCTAAAATGTCCAGAATCAACCTGGATCCCCAGATCTCCTGCATCCCAAACATCTCTTTCAGGGTCTTGCATACCACTCCCAACCTCTCACTTTTTCACCATCTTTGGCCTCTATTTATGTCAATAGTTATTCTCTGTCATACATCATCTGTTTGAATCTACCTACTGTCTGAATGACAAGCTTTTCTCTCTGATTCTCTTGCTGTCTGAGTGTGAGACAGCCTTGGTATCACTTAGAACTGACTTCTTCAAAGTGCGTTTGTACACATGTATTCCATAGCAGTTAGAGACAATCTTGCCACTGTTTAATGCGAGCAATTCAAGTGGAGGGTCTCATTCATCTTTGTATTACAGAACTTAGCAGATGACCAATATGTAATAGATCCTCAATGAAAAGTGTGAAAGGAATGAATGAATGTAAGCAGGTTCTTAACTCTCTGTGTCTCCTTAGACTATAGTTCTTTTCTAATTGGTTATCCTGCTAACCCTAGACTTGCTTCACCAGGATTTGGCCCAGTTTTTCTTTTCATAATTTCTCTTCCATCACAAATCCACAGATTTCTCCATTTCTGGGTCCTGCACACGAGGATTATACTATTTGACTTAATCTTTTGGCTATTTATCTCACAATAAACATAAACACTAAGGCTTATTTGTGTCTGTGAAACAGAAGTTTATTTTTATTTCAAAACTGAAGAATTCTGTCACTTTGTCACCCAGGCTGGAGTGCAATGGCACAATCTCGGCTCACTGCAACTTTTGCCTCCCGGGTTCAAGCGATTCTTGTGCCTCAACCTCCCAAGTAGCTGGGATTACAGGCATGCACCACCACGCCCAGCTGATTTTGTATTTTTTAGTAGAGACGGTTTTGCCATGTTGTCCAAGCTGGTCTTGAACTCCTGATCTCAGATGATCTACCCACCTTGCCCTCCCAAAGTGCTGGGATTACAGGCCTGAGCCACTGTGGCCAGCCCTCTTCAGAATCTGCCAGCTTGTGGTAAAAATATTTTAAAAAGTAATAAAATGTGTTCTTTTCCTTGACAGTTATGCAGTAGAGAAGAATTTGATTTAGATTTTTGTTTAAATTTTGAAAAAAGGTTTAAAATATTTTTACAAATTTTTATAAAATCCTATATTATATGGGCTGTTAGCAACACATTCTGTACTAAAGCAAAGAAAGGTAATCTTGCCACTTTGCAGTTACTTTAGTAAGTCTAAAGCAACACATTTCCTCCCTATTTTTGAAAATGTGAGTTGGTGGTGTCCTTTAAATAAGTCATGGATGAATGGATGGACGGATGGATGATGAGGGACAGATAGGCAAGTGAATGGCTGGATAGATGGAGAGAGAAAGGGAAGAATAAATGAGTAATGTAACTCGCACATGGATAGGGCATTCATCTGTTCAGGATTTTCTGAGACCATCTAGATTTCAAATATTTTCTCTCACTGTCAGATTGTGTTTCAGATGATGGGTCTTAATTTTTGGTTTGTAAAATATAATATACAAAATATATATGGAGACATTTCTCCTGCTTATTTACTATGGAAACTGAAAAAGATGAAGATGACTGTGACATCCTGTCTTCAAAAGTGAACATTTGTTGAGTGCTGCGTGCTAGGTTCTGGTGAGCACTGGAGATATGAAGATAAATAACGTGAAGACTGCCCTCAGGAAGCTCACAGCTTGACAGTAGAAGTGATGGAAGCAGATAAACAATGCCAAGGAGTACATGGTGGACTGGAGATATGAACAGCTTTCTGACAGGAACCCATTGGAAAGAGCGTTTATGATCTATTTTTCTTTAGTAGGTCCCAGAATTTCCTACGCACAATAAAAATATTCCACCAAGGAGCATGCCTACTCTTAGCTTGGTGACACATCATGACGGTGCCCTGTTACTCATGCAGTACAGGTATGTAGGTCACATAAAAGTCTGTGGCTTTACATTTCATGGCATCACGTATTGAAGCGTATTAATCACAATATAGAGCAGCCTGGAGCGATGTGCCCATGAAAGTTTTGACTTTTCAGCTCTTGAAATTCCACATAAGAGCTGTGCTTAGAGCACCTGTTCTTTCCTTTGTTACTCTCAAGAGGACATTTCTTCTATGAAGCATCTCTGAAACTCGAAAACGTTATTTATGTATTCACCAGGATTATTTTCCTTTACTTCAATTCAATAAGATTTCTTGAGTGCCTGCTATAAATAAGACACATATCTAGAGAGATTCCACATGTTTAGGTCCTAAAAATTGGTTGTAGCCCAAATATAATAATAAAATTACCTGAAGGTAATAAAAAGGGATAAAAATAACTAACACACATGCATTTACTATGTGTCAGGCACCATCCTAAGCACTTTACATATTAACTCAATGGAAATGACATAGGGGGCTCCCACAAGCCTCTGACTTGATTGTTCTTGATGGTCCCAGGAATAAAGGAGATGAGAGATTATGTTGAATGTACAGAGAAATAAAGTCCCCTTTTAAAATCCCTTTTTTACTTGTCAGATCACTTTACCTGGTATTTCCTTAGAGCCAGTATAGAAGGGACTACTGTAGATGGTAGAATTATCAATAATTTTTAAAGGCAGAGAAGCAGCCAGTGATAATAGGGAGAAGTTTGGAGGCTCAGGAGGCACCAGTAGGTGAACAAATATACCTTTTTTTTTTTTTTTTTTTTTTTTACTTATAATGTCTATCCCTTTATGAAAATAAGAAGTGTGCTTTAGTTAAATATAATTCAATTATATTTTTCCTGTTCTCTATTTCACTCTTATCTCTAGATCAAAGTTCTGAGTTACTTGAGTCTCTTA